CACTCTTCAACGAACTTCGAACCGTACACGTAGAGTTCAAGCTCCTCAGAAGATGAGGGCTCCGACATCCAAGTCAGTAATCTCTACCTGCTGCAGCATGCAGTAGTGACTAGTTGTTCCTCCGCAGGAACGGCATGCTGCGCCAGCGATGTGTTTTACTTCTCAAAATAAATTCGAAAAATCGCTCTGGGAAGCGACAATTTTAATGACGCGGAGGAAGTAGATGACATTGGAAGGATTGTATAATTGTCGACACTGCTTCGCTGTTGTTGTTTCTGTCACTGAAGTGAAGACGATGCTCTTGTCCTGTGACTATAGAGCATTTCGCATCGTAAAAATGCCAAAAGTTTCCGAAAGTACAAAATTAATGGACAGGGAAAGTAACTTAGTTGTCATTTCGGCATTCCTGGCTCTCAACGTTACCATGGCTTGCATATTCGATCTTTACAAGAAGTAAGTAAGTAAGTTGAAAGGGTCTTCAAGCCCTCACTGAACCTGTAGCTGTGTGCCAGTCGATTGCATACAATGTACATGATTATGTGTCCGTACTGAATAATAATTTCAAACATATCACGTGCTTGTTGCCATCCGACGGCCAATCAGCATCGACTTGTACCAGGGCAGAAATTGTGTGTATTGCCTGGACTACGGCATGGCAATGCCCTGCTAGCATGCTACGGAGTACGGTGACATCCAATGCCCTGCATGCATGCTAATTGCTATGCAAATGCCAGGCTATGGTGCCATCTATCAGCGTAGCTTGGCAAGGGTCTGTGGCACTGGCAGTTTTTCGTTGTCAGCTCAGTTCGCATGTACATTCGACTGTGAACTGACGTTACTTGCTCTGGTAAGCGAAATAAAAGAGCATGCACCTATCTATCTGCTCTGAACCTAGCAAGCCAAAATAAGTAAAGTGGCAATCACCGGGGTCAGTTTTCCAGCTGTTCCAGCTCCGTGCGCTCTCGGGCAAGCCCTCGAGCGCACGGCTGAAGTTTCGTTCTGAAGTTTCAGCTCACGAAGTATCAGCTCCGTATGCTCTCGGGCAAACTCACAGTCACAAGCTGAAGTTTCGTTCTGAGCTCCGTACGCTCAAGGGCTTGGGAGCTCCAACTCACAAGCTGAAGTTCCAGCTCCGTTTCATCTCGAGCAAGGTGAAGTTTCGTTCTGAAGTAACCGTTCGTTTCATCTCGAGCAAGGTGAAGTTTCAGCTCCGTACGCTCTCGGGCAAGCCCTCGAGCGTACGGAGCTGAAACTAACAAGCTGAGTCCTCCACGTCCCCGACCACCACCCCTAGAGGAGTCTCGCTTTTATACCTTCATGCCCCCGTGCTCATTTTCAGCTCCGGACGTTATCAGGACGTGCTGATCGGTGATTGGTGTTTGCTTGTTGATGTATGCGGTATGTTTGAAACACAATCAAGCATGGTAGGAAGGTCTTGATGGAAAATGCGTACCCTCGTGCGTAGCCCTCGGGCAAGCCCTCGGGCATACGCACTCGGGCACTCCATGCCCTTGTGTGTACGCTCTCGGGCAAGCCCTCGAGCGTACACACGCGGGCATGAATTTTCCACCAAGCCCTTCCTTCCATGCTTGATTCTATACTTATACTGAGCTTGTATACAAACTCCCATCTCTCCCCACACAACACTCCAGACTTGTATTTTGCATATAACAGGTACTTCGATGACGAGAATATAAACTGGTATATAAACTGGTATATAAACTGGTATATAAACTGGTGTATAAACTGGTATATAAACTCCTTTTTTAGGATTACACTAGTGACCTGCAGTCCGCCTTGATGGTTTTTCGACATGCACGACGGTCCCAACTAACTTCAGGATCTCTTTCCCGTCAACGATGAAGAATACAACGTCGTCCTTTGTAACGTGTGCCTTGTGCTGCACCTGGCGTTCGAGGCTGTCCTTCTTTCGCTGTTTCAGCACTCCGTCTGTCAAGCGCAGCACTCGACATGTGCGGCTGAAGAGCCCCGCGTGCCGCTCCTCCTGCGTTTTTGCATGGACATAGAATGCAGATAGCAGGGGCGACGGAACTTCACTACTGATGGTTTTCCAATCGATGTTCTCCTTTCCGCGTCCCTCGCAGAGCGGACGGAACATGCGCAGCCATAATCCGTGGCACTGCCAGTGTTCTTAGAAACTGCTGCTTGAATAATGGCATCGTGATTCGTGGTCGTCCTCAGAAGAAACGTTTGGGAGTCGATTCAACAGGCTCGTGCTGATTCATTTTACTCTTACTTTGGAAAGGAGACGAACTCTATGTCTCTAAAGTCTAATGAGCAAACGGTTCTTTTACAGAGCCCGCGGTGAGATCTGCGCGCGGTAACGGTCACTAGCACTGTGACTGTGTGAGGTTCAAACTAACTACTTACTTGGCGCATAGCTGTTACTTCCGATGTAACTAGTACTTCAGTCTTCAGTACTAAACTGAAGTCACAAAGAGTGTGTGATGGTACTGCACTAGCACTGCATGCACTGCACAGAGTCAGTGGTAGTCTTGTACTTGATCCGCACAGGTTGGTGAAAGGAAGACTCGTCGAGCCATGGTTGTGGGTTGGAATTCCAATCTCTACCCTTGTGGGGGAGAGGGGAGTTTGTATATCAGCTCAGTATAAACTTTTCTAAGCACTCGCAGACTCCATTGCAGCCATTCACACATTATAGGGTACCTCACTTCAAACTCTCCAACTACGGTCTCTTCGCTGCATATGTTCACTTCACTTCCAAAAAAAAACAAAATTATAATTATTAGATATAAATTGAATGCACCAAATTTTCGGGCATGGCCCATCTTCAGGGTGAAAAAGAAAACCATTCAACTAAAGCTAACAAAAACTGAAACGAGTATATATGCTGTGTGGTGCGGTAGTGCTGGGAATCTTTGTATGTGTGAAGGGTAGCAGCAATGGTGAAGTGTGTTGGTAGAAAGGGAAGGAGCGAAAGAGACCAGTGGAGAGCTGTGTCTGTAAGTGTGAATATGTGTTAGTGCGATGTGAAGGGAAAGCACGAGAAGTGTGGTTACCAGCAGCAATGGTGAAGTGTGTTGGTAGAAAGTGAAGGAGCCAAGCTCAGTATAAGCATAATATAACCTACTCAGTTGATTATATGGGAAATATAAACCAATATACAAACCTCGGCTTCGCCTCGGTTTGTATACAGGTTTATATTTCCCATTATTTTATTATAATCAACTGGTTAGGTTATATTATATACATACAATGTAGGGTAAGCAGCAGCATTTGGCCCTGTAGGCTGTATACAGGTTTTCCATCGTCCACCACACCACAACTGCGCTCCGACTCAGTCTCCAGCGATGGTGGTGTGCTGTGGCAACGTGTCGAGGCCGGCTGGAGAGCGCAGTTGTGGTTTGGTCGATGATGGAAAAATTATATTAAATAATATTATGTCCGTAGTGTGTTTTAAAAGCATGCGATTCCCACTTACACAATCGGATTGTCGTTATTACAAGTGTCAACGGCACATCTGATTCCATAATATTTTGGCTCTTCACTTTTGGCTCAACCGGAACCCCCCCCCCCCCCCCCCTTGTAGAGATCTCTCGATCCGCCCCTGTATTATGCCGGCATAATCCGCTAAGGGCTAAGTGTGGCTGGTGCACTGTTCGTGCTATGGTCTGCAAGCGTCGTGTGGTCTCGTCGGGTCAAATGAAAACCAGTACTACTATTTGACGGACCTATTGAAGATGGCAACAAAGAATTAAACCCACTTTTGTATTGTACTTGAATAAAATTCTATTTTTACCTTTCAAGCCAATCAAGGTATCTCAATTTTGTTCACGTCTACACTACAGGACTTTATCTTGCCCGTAAAAGAGGCCGTTACCCCGCCAAAAAAAAAAACTTTTGTGCCATTGCTCTGCATACAATTGCATACATGGCCTCCGACGATTGCATACCAACTAAATACTTTGGGGCCTGATATCTCCGGTTTGGGGCAAGATATACCCATGAAATTTTCTGTTTGTGTTCTGCAGAGGTTTCTCTTTCCAGTCGTGTTGGCCCTAATTCCGATTTTAGAATTTTGGACTGAAGTCGCTACTACTAGTACTAGTACATGATTGACTCCTGATAATAATGATAACGAACACCATTGTGCAATAGTTCATTGTAGCCACGGGAATTATTCAATATACCATGTATACCCACCACCACACTCCATTATTCACCCCAGTGTCTGGAGATACAGTAAATATCGGATATAACGTGCCCCTTTGATTTTCGAAAATGTATCACTATATCCGGTGCATCACTATAGCCGATTTGCATGTTTGACCGACACATGGCACATGACTGCACATGAAATGATGCGTACACGCTGGAAAAAGCATGCTGAAAGTGCATGCATGCTCTGCGGACTGTGTGAGAGGCAACACAGCCAGAAACAGACAAGAGCATGCAGAAAGATACAGAAAAGGACAAGACCATACAAAGGGAGCGAGGGGTAGCGCAGCCAGAATAGGACATGTGCATACAGAAACGGACAAGAGCATACAAAGGGAGCACATTGCGAGGGGTAGCACAGCCAGAAACGGACATGTGTGTGCAGGTAAAAATGGGTTGGTGCAAAAAGAGATCATGAGTACGTCGAGTGACATTCGTGACCACAGCATACAGGGACACCTGTCTAAAATTGAGAATTTTCTCTCAGCCACGTCTGCTGCCAGATGCAACCAGGCAACACTGGATCAGTTTTGGAAGAAGTGAACTTTATTGAAAAAACAATTGTTTTGTGATCATCACTCTTGATCATTATATGCGATATTTTCCTGTACATTTGATATGGTTTGCTTCCTGAAGTCCATCACAATAAGCGATATATCGGTATAGCCGATAATAGTGTATATAGTGATATTTTAGCTGTATTTTTTCTGATTTGATTTTGATTTTGACGTGTTCTATCACTATAACCGGTATATCATTATATCCGGTCACTTTATAAACGATACTTACTGTATGTGGATTTTGTAGAAAAAAAAGAAAAAAATACGACGTAACCACGTGTATGATGCCCCAGGGCCAGGCCAAGACTCAGCAAGAGATCAAAAATCGAACAGCTGCAACACATATGATTGGTCCGAAGACGTTCTTTCCTTCTTGTTCCCACCGCGCTGTAGCAACTGCATGGACTTGGGAAACGATGCGAGAGTCTGCTAACACTGTGATGCACGCATCTGTATTCAGCCTCTGAGAGTGACTGGTGTTGTGTGGTTGCTGACTTTGCCATGTACACCACTGTCACCCGTGGCTGTGTTCACTGGCTTCAGTTCGAGCGCTCGGATCGATTCGACACTCAGAACTAAACCGCTCGATGGCTTCCGGAAACATCCTGAATTCTTGGACGTCCTTCAAGCCAGTCACTATTTTGGTGAATTCGAGTCCTACCCGTAGGTTTGAAATATAGCTCCCCGCTCGAATCCACTCGATTTCAGCCAAGGATATGCACAAGTACGAGGCTCGTAGTTGTAGCCTCGTGACAGGCTGGAGTGTGGATGGCGATGTGTTTGCAGAATGTGGAGTTGCCGCACTACTTCAGCATTTTCCCAGAACATGTCACGAACAAAAACCTGACTCGCCGTCACTGCACTGTAAAGTGCGGAAGACCCAAAATTATTTGGTCGACAGCCTGTAGCCTGTGCAGGGATGCTGCCTGGCAAGCTCAGCGAATCACCACCAATTCTACGTGAGCTGTGTGGCTGAGCAAGCAGAGACTGAGAGACAGAGGGCCCACAATGTCTGCCTGGCTGCACGAAGCACTACTTGGATTTCTGGTATTGCTGGTTGGTCCTGTGCTGCTGCAGTGTAGTGGATTCTCAGAACCAGCCTCTGAAGACAGTGAGTACCCACATGCACCCAAGCAGTACTACTAGTGCACTGGGTTCATGCAATGTACTATGTATACTGAGCCTGATCAGCTGGAGTTGTGCAGCTTATACAGTGCTTGCAACTGAAATCCGACCCCCTGGGCGGCGCGGCGCGCCGCCCAGGGGGTCGGATTTCAGTTGCCAGCACTGTACTTGAAATATGTCATTGCCGTATTTTCCTGAGTACAAGCCGCACATTAACCACCAGTAATTCACCCAAAAAGAGTCGGTGCGGGGGCTTATCATGCCTACGACGGTCAAATGAACGGTGATGAACAGGGTAGATGTCTGTACTTGGTGACAAAATGTCTAGGTGTGGCTTATACTCCAGTGTGGCTTATACTCCGGAAAATACGGCACTTGTTTCAGTATACACTCCCACCCAGTTACATTGCCCCCCCCCCCCCCCCCCGCCACATGCAGCACTTCTCTTTCTGTAATTAATACATCTTCAGAAGCAGAAAAAGAAGGATGAGAGCAGCACATGCACACACCCATATTGATGATATACACGCACACACACACACACACACACACACACACACACACACACACACACACACACACACACACACACTCACACACTCACACGTACGCAAAGTCTCGTCACTTCAAACATAAATGCTAGCAAGTCTGTGTCACGATTTCGTGGGGCAGTGGTTCAGCAGGGATGAGTGCACACTCTCCGTGCGCCTACACTCCAGTCCTTGTTCACGCACGTGGACACATTGCAACGCACTCATGTGCATGTGCGTGCAAACACACACTCGCCTAATTGCATGCACACGGACACATGCGTGCGTGAGCGAGAGCTTCGGCATAGTAGCTGTGCTTCACGATTAGTTGGTCAAGAACATTCTGGATGCCACACCAGGAAGACACAGCTAATAGAGCGCACTGTTACTGTCTCCGCTCTGTCTTCTTCAGATCCGTACTTTGCTTATAGCTATCCAGAGCCATCCTACAGTCAGTACTATGGGGAGCCTCTGGACATCTACTGCTTCTCTACTGCACAAGACATATTAGCACGGTCCACGGCGGTGAGCTGTCATGCCGAGGCTGTTCCCGATGTGCCGGGCCGGGGCTTGACCTGCTCTGGCGGGGCCAGCGAAACTGCTATACAGTTCAATATCGATCGGCTAAGAGAGTTCCACAGTGGCCTGTATCGCTGTAGAACAGTGGGCCACACATCCTTCGCACCCTTCCGTATCATTGGCAGCCGTAAGTCACCTAAGACTTGTCCGTGTTCACAAAAACATTGCAAGCTTGCTATCACCTGAACTCCTTGTTTTGTGCGCAGCGGAACTGTCAAGTTCACATAGCTATTCTCCACAGCCCATGCTATTGTGTGAAATGTGTGTGATGAATCACCATGTATGACTGCTGCTCGCAATCCTATTAATTCCCAGTGTTCTTGACCATGGCAGATCATGGATACTCATCAGAGTTAAGAATGATTATCATGTGCATTCCAAGGTACAGTCAGACCTCGCTTATCCGGTCCTTTTTTATCCGGATCCCTCGCCATCTGGAAGAAAATCGTTTGTTACCGATTTATACTGCATATGTCATGCATACATACAGTATGTGTGTTCGATTATCCGGTTCCCTCGCCTATCCGGATATTTTCGTGGAAAACGGATGTGTGCGGCTAAGCAAGGTCTGACTGTGACGGGTGGTAACAAAACGATGTTGCCTTTGCCAGGCTATGTGCTATGTGTGTTGCCATGTTTGGCGGTGTGTGTTACACTAGCAATGCTGTCTTACTGCTGCGGCATGTTACCAGGTGACTTCCTGGAGTTTGTTGTTCTGGTCAGGATGTGTTGCCTCTTGCCATCCTGCTGGCCAAGTGTTGCACACGGTGACCCAGCACAGCTCTCTCACTGGCCTCAGGAACTGCACTGCTGTCTCATTGACCGAAGTAACTGCACTGCTGTCTGATTTACCTAACTGCACTGCTGGCTCACTGCTTTCCTGGCCATGCAGCTGTGCTATTATTGGAGTGTTTTTGAATAAAGTCACAGTGGCAATGTGATACTGTAGTGCTATGGCATGCAAGCACTGGTTTGCCACTCAATGAACTAGCACTGGTTTCATGGTTTGCCACTCGGTACAAATTTGCCATTCACATCTCACTATCATTATGCGAGCAGTGTTAGGCACCCAATACGGAACTAGCTCTGGTTTCCACGCCATAAAAGCTAGCAGTAGCTTTCACTCCATTCAAGCCAGAACTGGTTTCCACTATACACAGCATACACTGCGATATCATTCACATAACTTCTGTACTGACACAATGTACTAGCACCTCTGCAGGTATAGTAACTCGGTGGCAGCGAAATCCTCTTTCCATCGTAGCAGTAGAGTTGAATGTGGTGATCAGGTCGCCTTGCCGCATATGGACAAATGAGGTTCGTTGCAGCCACGGTCCTGTCAAGTGCTATCGCTAGAGACTGTAGTGGATTAGGGGTGTACTGTCAACTTCGCTTATAACGACACTTGGCGGGGCATCAGAAAAGTGTCCTTATTCGCGAAGTGTCGTTATACCCGAAGTCTCATGTATTACAGTTACATGGGACTTTGCTCTGGGCATGGAAATTCTGTCGTTATTCGTGAATTGTCGTTATATCCGCAGTCGTTATTAGCGAAGTTGACTGTAGCCGCTTGCACATCGGTGGTGTGGTGACCATGTACATATAGTCATGTGACTAGAGCATATCTGTGGTGTGGTCACCATGTACATATGCTTGAGCATATCTGTGGTGTGGCGACCAGGTGCCTCACACATGTATTCGCCAATTCAAGTTACCTATTTTCACTGTGTAGACACCCATGCCAGCCATTTGCAGGTGTGATGACCGAACTACGCTGACTCAGACTACATGTACAGTGGAACCTGTCTAAGACGACCGCTCAAGGGACCTTCAAAGCGTGGTCTCTGTTACCAGGTGGTCTCCTTATCCAGGGTCATTTGACTGGAAATGGCATCCCTTGGTCCTGGTTTCAGTGGTCTTCTAGGACAGGTGGTCGCCTTATCCGAGTGGTCTCCTTGACAGGTTTTACTGTATATACGAGCTACACACCTGGTGGATGGTCACACAGCCTGGCTTCTTCATGTAGTTGCTTATCAGGATGGCCTGCTCCACAGTTATAGGCTATTCATACTACGTTACAATATGCGTCACGTTTTTGGAATACGACGTACTGGCAGACGTCGTTTTCATGCAGGTGTATTCACACAGGCACCCACACGCTGCTCGTACAGCTGTGTGTACAGCTTCTTTTGGACACAAACTGCTGGGAACGACAGAACGAAACTCGGTACAGGGGTCTGGATACGTCGTCTACGTTTTCGTATCGGGGGTACGATTTTCCCGCCACGTTCCATGCTGTCATTGCTATCCGGACGAAAACGTCACGTACGCCACGTTTTGGGCGTAGTGTGAATCAGGGAGTAGTACAATACCGGTATTGTACTACTCCCTGGTGTGAATGGCCCATTACACAGTAGACTTATGTGCGACTCAGTGTGGAATAACAGTAATGTCCGTGATCCTGTTTTCCTGCAAGTTGTTTTTTTAAAATTCAGTATATTTCTGTTGATGTTTGTTTGTCCTGACACTGCAGATCGCATCCCCAGTGTTTCGATCACTGCCGTCGTGCCAACTCTTACCATGGCAACGTCCGAACGGTCCGAGACCGTTTACCTGCTGCACGACACCGGCATCACAGCTGACGCGGAGCTCATATCTGTTCACTGTCGCAGTGCGGTTGTTACCGGTAGTGCGTCTGCTGTCCGTAAGGTACTGCAGCGTACTAATACGTCCTGGGGTTGTGGTTATTACACAGGAACGCATCGATTTTCTAGTACGGTATATTCCGGAGTGTCACTGGAGCACTACTAGTATAAGCCACACTGGAGTATAAGCCATACCCAGATTTTTGTCACAAAGTACAGTCATCCACCCCATTTAGTCATTTTCCACCGCAAATTTTTGACCAAGAGAGTGCTCAATAATACCGAGTGGTAGACCTGGTTCAAACAATAGGAGGACAGAGAAAGTGTTTTTACTCCGAGTTTCACGCACTAAACGATCATCAGAAAACAGCCGTTTTCTGATGATCGTTTACTGCGTGAAACTCGGAGTAAAAACATTTTCTCTGTCCTCCTATTGTTTGAAATTTTTGACCATCGTAGTATAAGCAGCACCGACGTTTTTGGGGTGAATTGCTGGTGTTAACAAGTGCGGCGTACACTCCGGAAAGAAATACATGTGGTATGTGCAGGCCTCAGTAGCCCAGTCCTCTTTTATCCAGCTCCTGCCAGCCGAGATGGTGTGTCAGTTGGAGCAGAGTGATGTACTGCTAAAATTTGGAATGCAGTGGAACCAGTTTTGCTTTCCTTGCCTATCCAAGATGGAGAACTTTTGGCTCCCAGCCACTTTCGGCCATGAGCTGTTTAAAGCCACTAAGTGGCTTGAACTGAGTGCATTTTTAGCCACGTTCAAAGGTTGCAGGTAACATACCATGCTAAAAGATGTTTCATTAATGTTCTTTTGGGCATGTAGTGGAAAACACCACTCTCCGGACTGAGTTGTCATTCAAAGTGCGATCGTATCAGAGGCCAAGAGACACCCTTATGATACCTCTCCTCATGGTCTGACCCCTCCGGTTCCCTCAATGTAGCGCAAGCCACTTTCAGAACAAGCCACATTTGTATTTGTATTAATTTTATAGATTCTCTACGGCAAGCTTTAGCCTACATCAAGGGAGTCTCCGCCGTCCCATTCACCACAAGCCACATTCAGCACAAGCCGAACATAGGACCGTGGCCTAAGTTCGCTAAATTGGACAAATTATTACAGGGGTGGATATGGGATGGGAAGGGTGAAAGGTGGTACTATAAAGCAGAAATTTTCGGTGGTGTAATATTTTCGGTATTCTCCAAAATCGGCGGTTCAGTGGAGGGAAATTTTTCTGTAAACCCGTTTTCCAGGTAAGTGTACTAGTACTAAATGTATACAGTACCGGTAGTACCGAAATTTTCGGTGCGTTTTATTTTCGGTAAACATTGTCGGCACCGAAGTTACCGAAAATAAAACACCACCGAAAATTTCTGCTTTTACAGTATATTTGTAAGAGATCATGTGTTACGGCAATAACTAACGCATGGTGAGGCCAAATGCCACCTGCTAAACAGCCACAGCCAGTCTCATTTTCCACACATTAGAAAGACTATCATCCTGAACAAAGATTAAATAACCTTTTTTTTACCTGCATTGTCCTATCTTGCACCACTGGTGTGTTGTTCAAGGTGACATGGGATCTTCTTGACGAACCGTATAACCCTGATCAGCATCTGATATCGACTGCTACCCATGCGAACATCTTGGTAAACCAAACAGACTTGGAGCCATACCAGCACCTGCGGTGTACTGCTCACTACAATGCAATCAACGAGTCGTATGACATCACTCTGGTCAGAGGAGGTGAGCACACTGCGCAGTATTGAGACTAGAACACTGGATCACTGTTCGGTGTTTACTAGTACCATGCTGCATGCTAACCATTGCATTGTCAGTCTAAGTGTTTTCACATATAAACGCACATATTTATTCACTTTAACACATCTCCTGGCTTTCCGTTAAACTGCCAATAGTGAGAATGAGATGAAGGGTGCCAACCAACCACGGCTAACTAAAAACTACATTTAACTTGCTGGAAGCACTGCATCTGGTGTCCCATCGGATGAGCCATGGTCACGCCCAGTCACTGAGTGCACTCGATCACTCCACGCCAACTACATGTACCGTAACTGATGCAATGCCTTTTTTTATCATTCTCACCACTAGGAAAAGCACACGCCAGTGCTGGCTAAACCTCCCATGCAGAGAACTCTTCATGAATGATACCCTAGTAGTGATACGATGATTATAGTCCTTTGTGTGCGGAGCGTGCGATTCCAATGAAATGTGGTCACGGTTTTCTGATGTGCGAAATAATTGTGTGTGTGTGTGTGCATGTGTGTGTGGGGGGGGGGGGGGGGGGGGGGGATGTGCGGGGTGTGTGTCTGTCTGTCTGTCTATGTAGCTGAACCAGAGATTCAACTTCTAGCCTCATCTTCCAGAAGAGCAGAACTGCAAGATATTGATACAAATCAAACAGTTATGGCAACACAGTTCATTTTCATCATGGCCGTTTCGGGCGCCCCAGTTGGTAACTTCTCCGCTTGCCTTGCCGTTTTGAACAATCAAACATGCACGAGATATTTGGACTTGGCTCAGGAAAACAACGAAACACTGGAAATAGGTACTGACATGGCACGGGCGACTGTCACCTGGAACCCACCTTCCTTTCCTGGATGCAATGCTCTAGTCAGGGCTGAGATTGTACTCAAAGTCAACAGAAGCAATGGCGAACAGCAGCCCGGTAATGGCTATTTCACTCTAATTGCTCCAAATCCTTGGAATAACCAGCTCAACACCACCAGCACTGTTGAAGAGGTATACTCTTTTGACAAAAGGAACACTCCAACGAAAGAAAATGTGCCGCCAGGCTGTTCCGCAATTGTGTTGCCAACAGAGGCAAGTACATCTCCTACGACCAGTTTCAGTACCTCGCAATATGAATCAACTTTGATATTGGCTCCGGCAACTGCTTCAGCGTTGATGATTCTGGCCAAGAAGTCCACGAAATCCATTGCAAGTAGTGCGCAAACAGGCGTTGTGACGTCGACGTTCGGAGATGCGGATGCTTCCCAGAGTGATCGACTCTTTAGCAATCCTCTCGTCATTGCCCTGGTTGCCATTATTTCCTTGTTTGTTGCGCTCGCCACTCTTGCATGTCTCACCATCATTATACGCACCAGAAAGGCAAGGGGCAGGGCTCGCCGCCGCGGTGGCAGAGCACGTTTTGCAACAAAGAACGGAAAGCGGAGAGCTGGCCAGGTTGATTTGTCCAGCTCGTCCGCGTGCCTGAAGTCTGGTTCCACTGCAAGCCTCTCGACTGGACCGGATAAACGGCAGCATTGTGCAGCCATCATGCCTGTGAGTTATACTTTATGCCATGTGTGTATTGCTGCGTTCAGACATTCATATATTTTCCAGGGCTTCTACCAAACTTTCTAAATTGCAGTGCCCTCGCCTCATCTCACATATCCTCCTCCTCTTCATCTTCTCTCTAGTTCTCTCTCTCTCACACACACACACACACACACACACTCTCTCTCTCCCTCTCTCTCTCTCTGCCTAGCTCTATCTCTCATTTTCTATCCCCAGTATCATGTCATAAGGGAAAGAACAGCCTCAGCGTGTATACTACAAGAAGTTCCAGGACTCCTTGAACACACCTGAGGCAGCACTCGGTAAAGCTGAAAGAAATTGTCCAATTCTATGTGTGCTCATTCTTTTGTCTGTATTCTATGTTCTCATTCTGTTGCAGTACACGCAAGTCGAAAGTCTGCTACAGTCGGAGTTGGCGCAAGTGGTGAATGCCGATTACCTGGCGGAATTCATTGTGGACATCGGTAACATTCGCATTGCGGAAGAGGTCGGACAGGGTGCGTTTGGCATAGTGCACCGAGGGATTGTTCACGACCTCGAACCTGGACAACGGCAGACCGATGTGGCGCTAAAATTGACCAGAGGTATGTTTTTTTTTGTCTTTTTGATGACTCTCTATCACATCCTATATGCCAGTAAAATGGACTCGGCCAGTTGATATTCACTTACTGTATTTTCCAGGGCATGCGCCGCACTGGAGTAGAAGCTGCACCCAGATTTTTGGCACGAAATACTGTCATCCACCCTGTTTATCGTTGTTAATTTGACCATCGTAGTGTAAGCCGCACCGGCCCTTTCGGGTGAAATACGGGTGGCTATAGTGCAGCGTATACATGTACTCCGGAAAATACGGCATCTGGATCACAGGTGTGCCAACCCCGTAACACCTGCCTAATATTATATACTAGTATGCAATTGCAGTTGCTTTCCCGTTACATAATACTATTGGCTCAACATCCGTATTTATTAATTGCTGTTGCGCTATGCATGTCTGCACTTCCTAAGCTACTGACCGTGAGGACTCTTCGCTGTATCTGTACGCTTGATGATGAGATCTTTGACCAGTTAAACCATCATGTTTAGAGGAGATGTCTGGCGAGCCGCGTGTAAACGTTATTGTACCTTGTAAGAAAGTTTCTTGCCATTATTTTGCCCATACTGACTCGGTAAAGCCAGTTTTGGTGTCCTATTCCTGCTAGATGAATCCGAGTACTCGTCGGTGAGGGAGATGAGCAAGGAGATCAAGGCGCTTGTGGAGCTTGGCCGCAGGTCACACCCCAACGTGCTCAGCCTGCTTGGAGTCTGCCTCTCCGCATGTAAGAGCATGTGTGTCTCAGATAACGAGGGTCACGTTTTGACGGGCATGATTTGATTGGTGCCTTGCGCAGCTTCATCCTTTGTGATTTCCATGTGTATGTAAAAAAACTTTGAACTCTTGCTGAGCAGGACACTGGTATTTGCATACCTGCCAAGTATCCCGATTGTTTCGGGATTATCCCGCAATTGTGGATGAACTCCCGTGATCCCGAAATTCCTGTCGATTATCCCGAAATTACTGTACAAGAAACAAGCTTGATATTGTACTTGGAGCACTTCAAATGACTTGTCACAGGCCAGTAGTTGTCCTTATTGATTCCGGACCACCATAGCCTGCAGTACCAGTGGATCTACTACTAGTGCTTCTTCCTTGAACAGTCCCTGAAAAACCTCCATTTTTGAGTCTTGAACATGCGTAAGTGTGATCCGATGATCACCATCAGGCATCTATTATCGAAATGTTGGTGCCATCAAAAGTTGAAAAAGGGGTTTTTTGGAAAAAATACGACATATATCCCGAAAAACCAAGGCAAGTCCCGAGATTTTGCCATGGCGATCCAGGAAAATCACTCTCAGTACTTGGCAGGTATGCCGGTATTGCATGTAGTCATGTTCATGGTCTTGTGCCACCCAGCAGCTCACAATGGTCTGTGGGGTGAATAGCACAATCTACTGCTAGCAAAGTAGCTCATGATGTCATTGATTGTAGCTTGGTTTCTGGGGCTTTCCTGCATAGCGCTGTCTCCCACGTGACACTACGAAATACACGACATGTGCTGCAACACCTTGATGCAGAGATAATAGATTTCGCTTTCTGTTGGAATTATCAGTGCCGGTATGTTCTTTGCGTTTTCTGCTTGGTTTTGTCTAGCATCTCCTATACTCATCCTGGAGTTTGCATCCAGAGGTAACTTGCTGGCCATGCTGCGATCACGGCGCGGTGTCTCGAAGCGATGCATGAAGACACAGCTGAAGAAGCTGAACAGTTTGGCTAGTGACGATGGGTATGGCAGCACGGCAAACAATCTGCAGCAGCAGCAGCAGCTGCTGCAGAGCCAGCGACAGACTCCCCACAGGGCGTACACCAGTATGCCCGACAGTGAGGATCTCATTCGGCCGGAGAACGTCTTGAACTTCTGTCGGCAGATTGCGCGCGGAATGGAATTTCTGTCCTCTAGACATGTAAGCAAGCACAGCAATGTCTTGCCTAGACGCAGAGCGCTCTCGGCTTTGAACTCCAACTCATCACTTGAAGCATGTATTTCTGTCGCCCCCCCCCCCCACACACACACCAATTTGCCTCTTTAAAAAATTTCCGGCTGTATGTTGGCAGTTGAACTTTTATAAAGACTTGGCTGTAGCCAACACTCGCCTGCAAATGATCATCAACTGAACTGCAATACATGCTGCATGTTCCCTTGTCTTCCTGGCTGGTAGCTTATCCATCGTGACTTGGCAGCACGCAATGTCCTGGTCACCGACAACTTCACGCTGAAGATCTCTGACTTTGGTCACTCGCGCGGTGTGGAACTCAGTGATGGTGTGTACCAGCGCTCCACGCACAAGCACATCCCGGTCAAGTGGCACGCCATCGAGTCCCTGCAACGCGGGTTATACACAGTCAGCAGTGATGTGTAAGTGGAGCGGGCTCACGCTGTAGCTAGGACTCTGTGTTGTATCTTTCTGTACTTAAACTAGGGGTCAAACGGGTGTACCTTTAACTAACGAACGGGTAATTTTCTTAACGGGCGGGTTAACGGGTACCCTTTAGCAGCCATATTATTTTTTTGCGCATTTCTCACATAAATCATGATTTTAATTTGTATATTCTCAGGTTGTATTTTGATACTACATTATGATTCGCAATTGATTCGTGTATCATAATATTATTATGGCAATGAAGGTTCCAAATGAATGTCATCCGTGCATTTGCCCATGTACATAACTTCACAGGCAGTAACTTACAATCGTACATGTAGATGGTCCTACAAGCTACATGTATTTTGATACATGTACGCAAATCAACTGCAGATCGATGTGATTCGAGCCACGCAAGGACAGAGTGGTTTAGCAAAACTTCCGTGATCTCGCGCAATCCTATTTGCTATGTTCGCAGAGAACTGGTACTCGTTGCATTCAGAAGATGTTCGCGCCCATAGCTAGCTGGGGTGCCTGACACAGCTGATGTGCTGCTGGTCAGCTAGCTGCTAGTGCTAGCTTGTTGAACTCGTGAAATGAATCTTCACAAATCCGTAATCTTGTATGCAATATTTCGAACTACTTTTCAGCTCGTCGATTGAAGGAACAAACTACAACCATGAGTATCATACATGTAGCTACCACCTACGGACATCACCGTTTGTGACACTCCGACTGGTCACTCAGCCTGGTGACACTAGTTCATCAAGAGTACTGTGGCAGGTTTGATGTCGGAGAACCATCGTAACTTTCTAGTTACTCAGCTGCCACCTCGAACGAGTTTCAAGTCTTGCATTTTCTCACATCACAATCAAAAACCTCCAGTACGAGGATTTTTACTTGCACTAGAGTGGAGAGAACAACTGTCAAGTCTGTCTTTCAGCCTGCTCCTGCCTGATAAAGTCGAAAGCGGGAATGCACAGGAAAAAGGAAAAGAGTATCCGCACTCCTATTTTGAGTCTTGGAATACGATAGGATCACCTTTTTTTTTTTTTTTTTTTTTTACAAACGGGTACCCTTTTACTAACGGTACCTGAGATTACCGGGCGGGTACCCGGGTACCCGGTACACCCGTTTGACCCCTAACTTAAACAGTCATTATTTATTAAAGGGGAAGTTAAGGCTAAAATCAAAATTTCACCAGTTGTAGTCTTCGGGGTGCTGAGTCGAATGGTCGTGGTTCGAGGAAGCTGAGATGCTCCCTTCCTACTTGAATCCCAATCGAACTCGCACACTTCCACCGAACCTGGGTGACTGCGCCCTACTAGATGGGGATTTGTATGCAAAATGTCACTAAAAGTGCCATTTCGTTCTTATAAAAGCAAGGATGACCGCGATTGGCCCATATGTTGTAGTCTTTTGGACGCTGAGTCGACTGGTTTTGGTCCGAAAATGCTGCGATGCAACGTTCCTCCTTCATTCCCAATCGAACATGGTTGAACAGGTGCTCCTGCGTACACCAGTCACCTGATCACCGTGCCTGCAGGGTACAACGTACTAGCCTGTTTGACCTTTTTTGGGTGCAGACCTGTCACTCGAGTTGAACTCGAGTTGAACCTTGTACACGTGACAGCTTGTTCAACCATGTTCGATAAAGGAGGAACGCTGCATCGTAGCCTTTTCGGACCAAAACCAATCGACTCAGCGTCCAAAAGACTACAACATATGGGCCAATCGCGGTCATCCGTGCTTTTATAAGAACGAAATGGCGCTTTTAGTGACATTTTGCATACAAATCCCCATCTAGTAGGGCGCAGTCACCCAGTTTCGGGGGAAGTGCGCGAGTTCGATTGGGATTCAAGTAGGAAGGGAGCGTCTCAGCTTTCTCGGACCAAGACCATTCGACTCAGCACCCCGAAGACTACAACTGGTGAAATTTTGATTTTAGCCTTAACTTGCAACACAGCGTGCACGTTCATGTTGTTCTTTTGTTGACTGCATGCTTCCCTCTCGTCTTGTTGATTACTGGTACTTTGAAAAGTGACTTGCGTGGTAGCTCTGACTGAATGTTGTAGAAACTACAATATTCTGGGAGTCGTACAGGCTAGTGCCATGATGTACGGAGTGATGAAAGTGCGATGCACAGTTTTGCTGTGCCGATTCCATGTCCCTTGTTAGCCAAGAACAAGTGCAAGGGTGTTACGCCTAAGTATGACGTTTACCCTACTTGCGGGGACTCACACATTTTCTCGATTGTGTAGCTATGGTAATGCAGTAACTAAACAGCTGGTGTCCGTTTTTGTGATTTGATCTGTATTGCTGAATGTACAGTTGGTCTTTCGGTGTTGTCATGTGGGAGATAGTAACACTTGGTAAGTGGGGAGCCTGCATGATCTTGCTTGTAGGATGACTTGCAGTGTGCTCTCTGTATGCATATCTTATCTTTTTCTAGCAAGTGCATAGTGCCAGTGTCCGTTTAGGGTCAATTATCAGGGTTTGGCAACTCCTCTCTTGAATAATGTACACAATGCAGTGGAGAGAGAGAGAGAGAGAGGGAGAGAGAGAGAGAGAGAGACAGAGGGAGGGAGGGAGGGAGGGCCGAGGCATTTACGATAATCCAGTACACCTGTTCTGCTGCTTATATTTGCAGGGTGCACACCTTACCCGAGTATGGATACAAGCAGTCTGCTTGCCTCCCTGGCAGCAGGACACCGGATGGAACAGCCACCAAACAGTCAGGACGACCTGTAAGCTAAGACATGGGAGCTAACTTTCAAAATATCACATTTACATGACCGCTGCCACCCTGAGGATTCGAACTATGGACCCCGCTTATGGGCGGCTATGTTTTACCACTAGGCTCTGGATTAATATTCTTATTGTGCAAGTGATATCCAGCCTGAGTTTTTCAAAAGTGTCTTACATTGTCAATCATGGCGTGCCAATATGCCAGTAGCAGCTATTCTGTTTAAGGTGCCCAGCACATAACTGCATGATTGTATTGACCTTGTATGACTGTGTTATTAGGTATGACATCATGAGAGATTGCTGGCTGCATGAGCCACAGAGCCGTCCTACTTTCAGCGAGCTTGTCGAAGATATCACTGATTTGCTGGAGGATGTTGCCAAGACAACACGGGTAAGAAAACTGCAAACGAGAGAGAGAGAGAGAGAGAGAGAGAGAGAGAGAGAGAGAGAGAGAGCTGCCAGCTCAGGACCCTCCAGTTATGCTTGCTCTTCACCCAGGACATTACCCAGTGAGTAACTTGTTCTTTTACAGACGTAACTTCCCTTTACATCGGCTTGGTGTGCTGAAAAAAAGTGACAGCCCAACTTAAGTGGTCCTTCGCCAATTTTGTTCTATCCAACTTTCTTGACGTCACAATAGGTTCTAGACTTCTAGTACTTCTAGTAGAAAGTGATTTGAATGTACTGTGACTATTTGTTTTACCTTTCATCTTGTTGCCGATTGCAGGGCGTGGAATATCTTTGCCTGGATGTTGATGAGTTGTCACCCGCTTCGGAGTTCACGGATAGTAGCAGTGACGCTGCATCAAGCAGCAGCAGCAGCATGCCCGATGCTATCAGTCCCAGCATAGCCTTGCAGATAGTCACGCGGCCTCAGCCGCCGATTCAGATAACGGAGAAGAGTCCCCGTGACAGGCAACCGCACCCCCTGAGCACCGACCGGAGAAGATCGACAGCCGTGTGAGTGCACCTATCGCTATGACAATGCCGTCGCCGCTTACTGGCATTCCTTGCACCAGCAGTACTGGGTCAAGACTGGACGTCAAGTGCATTCACCGGATGTCACACACGGATCTAGTAACTGTGCGCTGGACGTGAGCATTCTTGCGCTAGCATGCATGCAGTGGGTGCAGCTATTCACAGCAAGATGACAGCCAAGTATGAACTTTCAATGGACAACACCAATGAATGCCGAACAAGCAAGAGTTAAAACCGAAAAGAATCCGAGCAAAGCCGAAAAGAAGCCGAGCAAAGCAAAACAGTCCAGTCAATCTAAATGAAAATGGTCACAGGTCAATATTTCCCTGGTCAATATCTCCTGTTTGTTTTGAACTATGGTCCTACTTAAGTCTGGGTCAAGTTTAAGACCCCCTCCTCGTACATCATGTACCACATGGCTACAGACTCTGTGGGCTGCTATCATCGCCTCAGGACTACTGCACAGAAAGGGGACGTACAGTTTGCAGTAAGCAAGACAGTTCTAATCAAAGTTCACATACAATGTACCAGTTGAAGCTACACATTTTCCGCTATTTATTCAGTATCACTCTTTATTCAGTATCACTCTGTTTCTGTGCAATGCACGTATCCGGTCAAGCCCCGGAGTATGAATGTATTTTAATTGAAAGAAATATTCCTTTTTGGCTCTCTTTCTGCCAGATTAGTCCCCTATCTCCTCTCCGCCCCCCCCCCCTCTCTCTCTCTCTCTTTTCATCTCCATCAACCTATCTAGCATCTATCTCGTATGTCACTGCGGCATTTTCTGGTTGTTTGGTCCCACTGCTCGACACATCCGTAATTATACTGGCCAAACGTATCCAATATTTACAACTACTTCGAAGTAGCTACTCAGTAGCTGCCTCTACCGCCATAGCCTACTCACTCCTCTACTGCCATAGCCTACTCACTCCTCTACTGCCATAGCCTACTCACTCCTCTACTGCCATAGCCTACTCACTCTTCTACTGCCATAGCCTACTCACTCCTCTACTGCCATAGCCTACCCACACCTCTACTGCCATAGCCTACTCACTCACACCAATCCTACAATCTCGCGTCTGCACCCTGTATGCATATCAACTATCCACATCATCAGCAATCCCTGAATACTCAGCATAGCCATATCACTGCTAGTGACACCAAGAGTTCATGGGGGTTATGAACTCTTGGTGACACCCATAGCGACCTATCATGACTCACACATCTTGACTCCGCACCCAGCCCCCACACAAACACCATTATCATGTTGTCTGAGGATTGCATGGTTGTGCATGAAACTCCGAGTTACATTGTAGTTGTAACAATCCGATTGATTATAGTTTATACGTTATAGCCTTCTGTCCACTGTTTGACTATTTATAGCTTACAATAGTACAGTAACAAGACTGTTGTTGCCGCAGGCTGATGATTGTGAAAGCATGAAACTTAAACGTAGCGACTAACAAGCCTTGATTGCCCTTGTTGTGCCGTGTAGCTTACAATACAAACTTGCTGTAGATCTACATGTACATGAACAGTCCAGTGGCGTAGCTCGGGCAATATTTGTATGGATACTGGACATCTTTTGGCCACCCAAGTCTAGATGTATTCGAGGTCCTTGATCAAGAAAACGCAATCATGTTATTCCACTAGAGGCTAGGCGAAATATCTGGCAGTTGCAATGTACAATACAGAAGCGTGTACTTGATAGCAAAAAAGTTAGTGCATTGTTTCAATTTATATAAATAAATACAGCCTCTGTGCTACGCTTATGAGTCCACAATGGACGAAACAACAGTTCCGCCCGCAGATTGAGTAAATTACAGGTTATGTAAGCAGCATTAGCAACAAATACAACTATGATACTGGTTCAGAGTGGCGTGAGCCGTGGTGTTCATACAATATTTGGGAGAGTGTCATTATGATGCTCCGTGGTTTAGTTGCTGGCGACTAGAAAACAGCTGACCTAGTTGATGGCCAAACGTGTTGCTCTGCCCTCCAAATAATGTGTATGTGAAACAAAACCCATCACTCACACACTTAGAAACGGTCAGCCAGGCGTAGGTTTCCAGCCAGTAGCAACTGAACCGTATGTAGATCCACTGGCCACGTACTTTCATCGCCAAGAAGCCATGCACATTGCCTTTGGGTCATTTCATAATAATAATAATAATAATAATAATACTGTATGCATGGACCCAGGTACAGGTGGTCGGAAATGGTGCTGCAGTAGCTCAAACGTCTCCCTTGACCTTAGCGGAAACTGCCAACTTCAACCACGAGCCCTGCGCACTAGCCACTGTCCTTGCACTTCTCCCTGTTTCCGGATCATCAAACGTTCACAAAACGCCGGCATTGTGAACCAGTTGCTAAAGAAGAGTACCCGCTTCAGGTCACTGCAGGTTCCGGAGAATCACCTGAAGCGAATTCGCCGCCAGAGTCGACAGAATCGGGCACCGAGACAGCGTCAGCGCTCGAAGAGTTGTCTGAACAATCGCTATCATGACGTTTGGAAGATGTCACTGAAAACAAACCTCCAATTTTCGTTAGGTGTAAGTGCTTCAGTCACACATATACCTGCCACACTGACAGAACTTGGAAATTGGTGGCGAAGAATAAAAGAAAATGGAAACAAACTGAAAGGTTTCGAAACAAAAAGACTGACTTTCCGACTTCGATTTCGACTCCGGTTTTGCTAGTGCAAAAAGTGGATGTGAATCCGCACTGCACCGGTGCTGTGCATGCAGCACTGTTGCAGTGTGGTTCACACAGCGAACGCGAACAGCGGTTCAAAGAAGTGCAACTACTTAACAAGCCTATCCTCGAGCCTCACAAATGTACATAGACTACAATATTATTTAATTTTAATTTTAATTTATATATATTTTTTTTTCAGTTTCCAAAAACAACAAAATAAATAACTCCAAAGCACGAAAAAGGCCAAAAACTAAACCAAGAACATGATTGTGCAATAACATGTTATTTAGAAAGACAGGACAAGTGAATAATTAGTCAGTCCATTGTTCATGATGGTCTCCGACGGTTACGTCGGCAAGCGAGCCTCCGCCACTGCCAAAACAGCATGGGCTCCTACATGTAGATCCTGCGAACTCTTCTTCAATCAACAATAGACTCCACACGTGAAGTCAGTGCCTGTAGACACTTGTGCATGAACTGGTACAGTGCATGTCGACATGTCCTGGCCAACCACGTATGGGTACCTGACTGCAAAGTATCCACTCTGGCTACGCGCCTTTACTGCAGAACATGGCGACGCCACACCGTGACAGTATCTCCGGAAGCAGAGCTAGAGGCAAGTGCAGAGCCTTGGCTTGGGTCGGGAAGAAAACTATCCTTGCTCCATGATACTCATACACCACACTCGCACAGGTACTTGCTGATGCTGCCTGCTGGATCCGATCAGCAGCGCAAAGCTCTGATGCCGGTCGACGCTGGATAGAGCTGCTAGTCGGATTTTTCTACTGAAGACACAACCTACTCGTAACGAAGAGAGAAGTAACACTGAGGACAACACAACAATGGGAAGAGTGGGGGCTCCGAGAAGGAACCTGTGCTGCATGGTGAGGCAAGCCAACAACGCCGACCTGTTGTCTCGGCGTTACCGCGAGCTTGCGCACCATGCGAGTTTATGGGGAGAGGAGAGTAAACAAAATGGAGAGGGGATTATTGTGAAAGAGAAGACGGAGTGGAGCTAGATGGGACTATTGTGAACGATTACTCGGATTAGGATGAGAGTGCAAAGATGTATGGGTGACCTGGGTAGAGGGCAGGAGCACATAAATGCCAAAAGGGAAGTAACGTGTTACGCACCCTGATCATTTTTGGTTCTTAGAGAGTCAGTGGCCCAAAGCCAATGGCTACGGCGAAGATAGTGGTGCCGATTTTCCTTGAAAGCTTGGAGGCTCTAGTCTTGAGGGATGGCGGTTTGGTGAAGCCGTGAGCGTGTTCCAGGTGTCAATGATGTTGAACGGAAATGTACCCTGAAGGGAATTCAATTGGGAGCAGTTGAGGGGAGAGTGTTAGCAAATTGCATGGTATGGGTGACCAGCGGTTTACCGATATTGCCTGCGAGTTATGGGCTCAACAGGGGCATTGATTGATAAGATCATAAGGGGGGGGGGGCTGGCAGGCAGCCAGGCACAGCCACGTGTACAGGAATGAAAATGCTGCCACTGTCCGCCTTGCCTCGAGGCTCTGCAGCAGCACGTAACGCCGTTGGGCCATAGCATACCCATAGCCGTAGGCTCCGGCCCAAGGATTTGCAGGGCCCTCACCATGCTCACTGAACACGCCTTAGCCTATTACATGATTGCTACCAGTATTAGGCTTGGGTGCTCGAGCGAGGAGTTTGGGCGGGTCACTGAGGCACAGAAGGTTGCCTAGACTACAATGTAGATCTACCAGGCACATGACTTTTAATAATAATAATATTAATAGCCGTCTGGCATGGTACAATAACATTTTTCTTTTCTTTTTTCTTTTTCTTTTCTTTTTAATGGCTTTCTCTTCTACCTGAGCTGAATGGTTTACAATCTTATCTGTATCACAATTATTTGTGGGTTCAGCAATAAAGAATGTGTGATACTAGTACTAGTACTAGTACTAGTACTGGGCCGTGGGAGTGGGAGCCGTGACTTTTGCTCATAGTCATACTTCATAGCGCGAGCGATAGCATGCTTCGGCTATGATCACGATGAGCGTGATTGTACACTGCGTGTATGTGAAGCAGAGAGCCGGCGCCAGGTCAACTCCCTGACATGATGTGTCCAGAGTCCTGTGGTAGTCGGTCGGTACTTCATAATGATACCAAGACTGGCAAGAGGCTTGATGATACACGGAAAGATTCTTCACGTAGGGCTGCGCTTCTCCCGGGTTCCTGTGTTTAGTCAGAAAAATAGTCTTTTGTTCTTGTCACGTCTTGCTGCTGCTGTTGCTGCTGTCACCCATCATTCGCCGGTCTTTCCTCTTCTTGAGACTGTACTTGTACTAAGTTGTAGGACATACTTGTCTGCACGTAACGCGCGCTATGTCAATGCATGGCATGTGGCCAATAAAGACAAAACGTACTGCATGCTGCGAGACTCTGGCTGATGTCAGGAGTCAGATATGACATACACGATCAATCCCGCGACCGCACAGCTTGAACTAAGTTGAAGTTGATGTAGCTAGATCTACGAGCTAGCACTAGTAGTAGACTAGTACTAGTAGTAGTACTAGTATTACTTCGAAGTAGTATCAGGCGCACATCATGTAGAGCTACCAGGTTATGATGGAGGTGTAGGAGGTGACTCGAACTGCATGACTTGTACGTGTAGCCTGCACCATGCCATGGCACTGGCATTAGCCTGATCTGCTGAAGGCTGAAGCTCTTCCTCGGTCCCAACCAGTGATTATGACACTTGCTCACGATTGGGTTGTGTTGAAAAACTCAACCGGCTTAGAAACTGAAATGGCCTGAGGCTGAGTGCCAACGTTCAACTGCTCCCCATCTCCGGTAACTATTGATAGTGCCCTATTGCGCTATTGGGCTATGTGGACGAACAGCCCCCCGCCCGTGACTGAAAATCTGAGGACATCCTCTGGCGACAAAGAAAGTAAGTCGGTTTCCGTCAGGGATCTTTTTTTTTTTTTTTTTTTTTTTTTAATTTCGGCCAGTCGGCTACTATCATTTTCGTCTTGGGGGCTAGACAAGGGGAAGTAGCCATGTCGGGGCATGAGCCCGCCTTTCGGCACCGGGAGTTGCAGGTCGCTCGACTTGACTCTACTGAGTGCAGAGGAGGGATCTTGCCTAGGCTAGAGAGTCGGTTGACGGGTAAAGCGTATTTGTAGTAGAAGGTCGGTAGACCTGGATGGAAACTTGGAAACTCAAACCGAACCTAGCCAAAACGGAGGCTATGTTTGTCTCCCCCTCCCCAGCCCGCCAAACCTTGCATTGCCCTGGTGTCACTATTACACTCGTTACACAGCATAAAATTATCTTGGTGTAATTCTTGACTATAGCCGAAAGCGTGCTAGCGCTGCTCCAGGCTGCAACCTCACTGTCGCCACTTGAACGATGGCTGCAAAATCCTATTAATTACAAGGCAAAGTGTCTGTAGTCTTTGCTGCAAACAGTGCTCAATACCTCAAAAAGGGGCAGAGCTTACCACACAGGGCAGAACAACAGAGACCAAAAATCCTTCTCCTTTTGAAACACGAAACTCGGAGTCACGAGAAGGATTTTTGGTCTCTGTTGTTCTGCCCTGGCATACAAAAATCCTATTTTACAAGGCATACACAGTGTACATCCTACCAATCTTTGACTACTGTGACACCCCCATGGTCTGGTGTATCTAGCTCTTAGCGACTCCTTGCCCTTGAAGATTCACCACCGACTGCTTCTGAAGATCCTATTTGGAAAAGAGCACATGCACCCCTCCCAATGTTTGTACAACCTTTCCCATGCCTCCCCCTTTCAGCTCAACGCGAGCGTCATCTTTGTATCCTAAATACATCTTTGCAAGGTTCCGCAGCATCTCACGTTATACAATTATTGGTTTGGTTTTATTATTAATTTTCAGTTCGTTGCCTGAACAGTACAAAGTACAAAATATCTAGAGGGACGAACAAAAAGAGAAAGTAAAACAGAGCAAAAAAGGAAGATGCAACTGGAAGGAAAGAAAAACGGAGAAGAAATCACGATGGACGTTCGTCCTCTAGCCAGTTATTCCTTAACCCAGGCTACTTAACCTAAAATCCCCTACGTTCTCTGGCTATGTCCTTTGGAGTAAATTGTCCTCCCAGAGTCCCAGACTAAAACCGGCATCTGACACGATAAGCGAGTTCACGATTCAGCTCTCCCTGGCGAGCATGTGAAGCTAACAAGACCACATGATGCACTTAAGTGACCCTCTAGCTGAAGTTACTGCCTAGGACACCATAACAAGTATGGTTCAAGACTTCAAGTTATTGCTTGTCTCTTGTTATTATTTTTTATTTATTTTTACTAAGTACACAACCTACTCGTCAGAAGGGGAGAAGACAACAGAGTATACAATAACAAAACAGCAGGGAGAGTAGGGGCTGCAAAGCAAGCCTGTGCTGGTGAGGCAAGCCCACAACACCGACCTATGGTCTCGGCGTTAACGTGAGCTTGCGCACCATAGCCTAAAAGAAGGGGGTGATTTAGTGCGATAAAGACAACGGAAGGTGAGAAAATGAAAGAGAGAGAGAGAGCGCGCGCTCGCGCGCGCGCGCGCGAGAGAGAGAGAGAGAGAGAGAGAGAGAGAGAGAGCCGGGGTGGTGGGGGTGGAGAGAGAACACGACTGGCGAGAGAGAAAAAATAGATTCATTCAAAGGCAGTTCAGTTGCAGTGAACATGATGCAATGCTTGGGGGGGGGGGGGGGGGGGGGAGGGGGAGCTTCAAGATGGAAATTGTTCTGAACTGTTAGAGGGAGTCTGTGGCCCAAAGCCCCTGGCTTCGGCGAAGATGGTAGTGGACGTTCGCTTTGAAGGATTGTAGGCCCTTAGGAGATGGCGGTTTGGTGAACAGGGGGCCGGGATTATTTATTATTTTTATTATTTATTCATATTTTAATAGGGCAGTCCCCACCACTCAAGGTCTTCTTACGGGGTAACCTAAGAATGAAAGTAATCCGGCATGGCGAAATAGGGATGGCGATGCAGCAGTGCGGATATCAGATGGAGCACTATTCCATCTGTCTGCAGCCACTGAGAAAACAGACCGTAGCGTGAATAAACTCGGGGTAAAACAAGACCATTGGAGGAGTGAAGGCGGGTCCGACATTGCCAAGTGTTAGCTGCTGAAGAGCGGAGTACAAAGAGGATGGCAGCGCGTCACCCAGGTGTTGCCTGATGATGATGTTGCATGGAAAGGCGCGTCTTACTAGTAGTGAGTTAGGAGCGCCTGGAGGGAGAACATTTTCCAGTTGGTAGGGGTGTGAAGCAGATTGTTGGCATTGTTGTTGCACTCTAACTAGCTTTCTTCTTTTATGACACCATACGGTCGATAGCCCTTGGCGGATTATGCCGGCATAATATTTGGCATAATCTTGGGATTTCGTCCAAAAATTATGCTCCGGCATAATATACGGATTCCAACGTGTAAGGTCGGCATAATCTTTCGGTTTAGACAAAAAATATGCTTAGGGGCATAATACAGCTTTGTCAGTATGCCTGCAGACGTATCCATGATTGATATCTCACAAGGCCGTGGAAGAAAAAAATTCGCTAAACGCTGCCGATGCTTACAAACTACAATACAATGGCAACCCCACACTGTGTCTCTCATGTTTGTGGTGTTCGGTCAAGAAGTCCATCATGGATAGAGGACATACATAATGACAGAATGAGACCATGCACACTTCAAAACTCGCCAGGGCAACGGAATGATACTACAGTAGTGTAGTAGCCTTTTTTACTTTCATGTAAAATTATTACAAATCACCTCGTATGGCATATATGGCGCCTATGCCATGGCCAAACATTCTTTTTTCTTCTTTTTCTTAAAAAAAAAAGAGAAAAAAAGAACGACGTCCATACGCCCGGGCCGTGTACCGGTCGGTCAGTGCAGTGTTCAATGCGTTCAATATTGAATACCCTGAAGAAAATAGAAATTTCCCTTTTCAGCTGGCTGCAACAAGTTGTTTTACAGTCGTGTTTGACCCCGTCTGTTTCCCCAGAGGACCGAGGTTCTATGTTTGCGAGGCCCGTCGAGGTCCTGTCTCACTGCCAAATGTCGGATTGCAGAAATTGAATTTGCTCGTCTGTAAAAGAGTCTGATCTCACGAAGAAGACTTAGTGAGGCTTCCTGTGGAATATGTCCAGCGAGGAGAGGCAGTCTGCCCTGTCTCGTAGTCCAATAGCACCTAAAACAGATCTCCCAGTAGGCTTGGAATGTATGCTGTATAAGCGTGATGGTGTCGTTTCTCAAGGGTCCACGCCACAGTCATTCAAAGGTACTGAGTATTGTGCGAGTGTGAAGACCAGGGTTGTTATTCTTCACTGATCATACTCGCTCCTGGTCACCCTGGATAGCTGTCTCAAATCACACAAAGAAAATGACCGTCTGGTTATGCGAATCACCACTCACACAATGCACACGTTCCACAACAGAAAATCCTGGAACCCTGAATATTTTGATCATTTTCAATTATTTGAAAGCACAAGATGCAGTGCAACATGCGTGTACTGTACTATACTCTCGGTGGAAAGTGTGCATCATACGAATGTGAAGTATAAAACAAGTCTCCACGTGGGTATCTGTTTGCTTCATGTAAATACAGGACCGGCGGAAGCAGTTTTTGAATGGTCCGGCCATGTCCTAGTCTTTCATACAGTTTGTGTATGATATGGAGGGTAGTCACATGACTTTCATACAGTTTGTGTATGATATGGAGGGTAGTCACATGACTTTCATACAGTTTGTGTATGATATGGAGGATATACACATGACTTTCATACAGTTTGTGTATGATATGGAGGGTATACACATGACTTTCATACAGTTTGTGTATGACATGGAGGGTATACACATTTTACCTCATCAGCAGTAAACACACGTTGGTGGCCAAAACGTTGGTCCGGCCTTGGCCTGACCAACCGGACCAGTTCCGCCGGGCCTATAAAAGAAATAAAGTACCGATAAGTTACGAGTTGCGCCTCCCTTCCCCTTATTTGAACTTTCCGCTCCTGAGTCTTCCAAGTTGGAAGATTGTCGGTTTGCGCTACGTAGATGTGTTGGAGCTAGGTGTCAGGTCGTTGAATGTCTCTGTAGTCAGTTCTGTGCCTTGTTGGCGCACTACTGTAAAAGCCATTATTCTAACGAGGCGCATACCGTAAAGTCGCGGATAAAAGCCGGGCTTATAAGCACATAAGCTGCTTTCTGCATCAGGCTTTAATGCAAACCATGCTTATATGCACCACTGATGTTTTTGCCAGGCTTGTATGCATAATAGAAGCCAGACTTCTACTCGCGACACGCGTAGATCTACCACTGACTACCGGTATGACGGCAGTTTTACTATGCACTGTACATAGCGCATGCACTCTTGACCTACCCTATCCGCGCTTGCATAGAAGCCAGGCTTCTACGCGCGACAGGCTTATCTGCATTTGACCCGTTTGATTTTCTGGCTTCTATCCGCGATGTGCTTGTATGCAAACCCGGCTTTTATCCGCGACTTTACGGTGTATAACGATTTCCCAAAATTGACTAGTTTATAAGTACCAAAGCAACGATTCTCACTCATTCTCACTCATTCTCACTCATTCTCACTCATTCTCACTCATTCTCACTCATTCTCACTCATTCTCAACGCTCAATAGGACAGTATATGTGTCAATTTCTGTATAACGATTTCTATTTTAACGACAGACTTCTCCTCGTTAACTCGTTAGAGTTAGCACTTCGTTATATATATATATGGCTTTTACAGTATCTGACTGTATATGATCTCGTTACCTTTGTGAACTGTTAGTCATAACTCGTAACTTATTGCTCCTTTCTCTTTTACAGCGTTAAATTAATTTAAATTATTACACAATTTTTCTCAGAAATTGCGACTGTTGATCCTGGAGTCTTCATATAGAAGCATTAGACTAGTGGTGTTTGGAAGTACATGTATACCAATCAGGCTGGATTTGGTGCCACTCTCAGCTGGATAACAGGAAATTTGCTCTCTCTCTCTCTCTCTCTCTCTCTCTCTCTCTCTCTCTCTCTCTCTCTCTCTCTCTCTCTCTCTCTCTCTCTCTCTCTCTCTCTCTCTCTCTCTCTCTCTCTCTCTCTCTCTCTCTCTCTCTCTCTCTCTCTCTCTCTCTCTCTCTCTCTCTCTCTCTCTCTCTCTCTCTCTCTCTCTCTCTCTCTCTCTCTCTCTCTCTCTCTCTCTCTCTCTCTCTCTCTCTCTCTCTCTCTCTCTCTCTCTCTCTCTCTCTCTCTCTCTCTCTCTCTCTCTCTCTCTCTCTCTCTCTCTGCACGTGTGTTTGTTTATCTATGTGTGCTGCTGCTGCTGCAGATTGCAATGCTGCTGCCATGGATCAGGTACTGTCGCATGTGCTAGCACCGCTACTCCAGTGTTCCGACAATCCAGACAGGTGTGTGTCTTGTGTATCGCTTTATCTGATTGGCACTGTGGGCTGCCTGTATGATCGTCCTGTTAACTACTTCATTACCTACTAACTTATTACTTGCAAGCTATGATATTGTGCATGTCTGCAGACCAGGGAGTCGTAGTGTACAGGAAGATGACACAGGCGACTGTTATGCTAAACGAGGGGGTCGACCTCGAGCTGCCCATCGCAGTCGCCCTCGGGGCAGGGCCGGTTTACACATTCTTGCATATGGCATCGCTTGTCTGGGCCGCGCTTGGGGACAGCAGGCCAAGGGTGCGATCGCGAGTTGCATGGACCACAGATTGCATAGGATTACCACTGGTCTGGTTCGGGTGCCAACTTTGTTGTATTGTTGGTGGATCAGGTATTATAACTAAGAATGGTGCATTTCAACATGCAATCATGTGTGTGTGCGTATGTACGTGTGCTTGTGTGTGCGTGCGTGTGTGTGTGCGTGTGTACGTGCATGTGTGCGTGTACGTGCATATGTTTCTTGTTTATGAAGGCCAGTACTAAATTTGCTGAACTGCTCTGGGCACATCACCCGTCTTGTGCACCTTCTACTGGAGACTTGTCATGGTGAGTAGTGTGGTGCACAAAGTACTAAATTATGCACCTGCGGTTGTTGCTGCTGCTGCTGCTGGTGGGGCTCGTGCTGCTGGTGGTGCTGCTGGTGCTGCTGCTGCTTCTGGTGGTGCTGCTGGTGATGGTGGTGGTGGTGCTGCTGCTGGTGGTGGTGGTGCTGCTGCTGCTGCTGGTGGCGGTGCTGCTGGTGGTAGTGACTACACCCAATTTCTAAAACTTGCTCCGATCGCTTCGATTTTGGTCTCATTCGATTCTCGCAGACGTAGTACATAGGAAATCTGCAAGTATTATTCAAATCGGCCCAGCCATTCTTGAGTTATAGTGATTTGAAGTGCACCAAGTTGGACTTTCGCTGGAAACAGAAATGAATGGGAGTGATGGGAGAATCGAGAACGACCGCACAGTCAGTGCATGCAGTACAGTGTACAGTGCACACGCCTCGTCACTCGAACTGCGCGTACAAAATTGCATACTTTGGTATGCTGGCGCAGAACAAATTCGCTCGTAGAGGAAGACGAAAGCTTCTCACCATCTTGTAATTTCACATGGCCTGTAGTTTTTCGACGCTGAAGACGATGGAATGGTCCGCGACGCTGCGACCCGACCAGAACAACCCGAAATCCATATTCTGAAAAAGCGCTGAGCGCAGAGCTCCTAAATTTTGTCGTATGGAAATGGGACTTCGGGTCTCAAGGGCACGAACATCTCCTCTCTCAGATAAAGCAATTCACTCGATGCGATATTCTACAATTTGACCTGGCCACGCCGAAAAGCACTGCGATGTCGGATTCTCCCATCGGAAGTACAGAAACTTGTTTCCAAAAAATCAGCGTCTGGGTGCGAGGGAGTAAAGTCACTACTGGTGGGGGTGGTGGTGGTGGTGCTGCTGCTGCTGGTGGTGGTGCTGCTGCTGGTGGTGGTGGTGCTGCTGCTGCTGCTGCTGCTGCTGCTGCTGGTGGTGGTGCTGCTGCTGCTGCTGCTGCTGCTGGTGGTGGTGGTGGTGCTGCTGCTGCTGCTGCTGCTGGTGGTGGTGGTGGTGCTGCTGCTGGAGGTGGTGCTGGTGGCGGTGCTGCTGCTGCTGGCGGTGGTGGTGGTGGTGATGGTGCTGGCGTTGGTGGTGTTGGTGGTGGTGGTAGCGGTGC